GGGGGGCATAAGCAAATGCAGACTCGAAAATTAATCCTAAAAGAGGCGGTTAAAACATTAATTTTTCAAGGAAACATAACATAGATCTAAAATCTACACCTTGATATCTACATCTGCTCTTAGCGCTTATGTTTCATCAACAAACCAACGTGGATAGGCTGCACGCGTGGAGGTAAAGAGGTCAGTGCGTTCTTATCACAACTTCACTTTGAAAGAACCTCGACAGAGAGGCTAAATAAATGGGAAAAACAAAGCCAACAACTTACCTAGATCCGAAAACTTCCCACAATGTTCAATAAAACAGTCCGTTGTGTCGAATAAGTCAATTTGAATTAAATTAACTTTGTAATTGTACGAATAACTACCGTAACAAATCTTCTCAGTCTAATCGCCTGTTAGATTGTACGTGCCCTTTCAATAAGAAAGATGACATCATTTAGTCCTAGCTCAGCCAATCACAGCGAGGGGCGGTGGCATGTTTAGACTTGAGCGTGAGACTTCGGAACGAATACAGCTAGGCTAGAACGATACTACGAAAATCATACGATCTTTAAGTGCTTGCTTTCTAGGTTTAAACTTTTAGTTTCTATTCATCTCTCACGCACGTGCCAGTGTATATTTCAAGGAAGGCAACATTTGAAAAGAGATAACCATAAGAAATCACAGCGAACACGATAACTGTCGAAACCCAAACAAACTTGACCTTAGATATTTGCATGCTGTCACGTGACTTCGGCTTTTCATCCGGACACGGTGTCTCTTCCATTCGCGGATCGGAAGGAAAGACTAGATTTAGATCTAGATTCTTGATCTAAACTCTTTTTTAATGTGTAGAATAGCCTACCAAGTTCATTCAAATTATACATATAGATGTCCAAGTATTTTTCAGGTCTTGGAGGTCTGAATATGCACCGACTGAATCTTTGTAAAACAATTATAATTAGCCGAAACATTTTTCGGCAAGTGCTGACTGAAGGGGAAGAATCCAATAAATATTTTGGGTTTTCCTATTAGATGTAAAAGTATATGAAATTATCTCCCCTTTTTAATAGAGGTAAAAAAAAACAGGGAAAGGGGGGGGGGGGGTATTTTTGCTACTCTTCTGCGAATTATTATTCTCTGTTTGTTTGTATGTTTGTTTGTTTATTTGCCTGTTTTAATTTGATGAATCATTTTCTATTGATTAAAGAGAAATGTTAGCCCTCAGAAAATGTTATCTCGTATTCATAATAACAATAGCAGTGTATGTTGTTTCTTCACACTATTATTGCTTGCGTCCCTTTTATTGTACAGGCAACTTCTAGATCTAGTCAGCTTGATTTGGAATTAAGCCCATTGTGACCTGACCAAGGGGATTTTTTTCTGTGGCAGATGTGCTCGAACTCATACAACCACATATGTCTCCATCCCACCTCTTCCTGGCAACGTTTTCTAATATAGGGTAAACATCATTTTCGAGTTTTCAAGACCTAAACACACACATACATGAAGACTGTGGCGATAATATGTCTTGTCATTATTGTCCTTATCATGGGTCAGCTGTGGCTGTGGTATTGTTGCTATTATTATTGTTCTTATCATTATCGCTGTTGTTATATTTTTTATTGACGTTATTATTGTTATCAATAATAATATTAATGTACAGGTACCAGTAGAGACCACAAGTAAACTTTGCCTCATGTTAGCTTTGCATTTGTACATTGACTGTAGTCATTTGGATAAAAATCCAGCATGGCAAAAGGTCTCAGGAAGCGCAATGTCTAGCTGGAGATTTGTAAACAGTCATAGGCCTACTGTGTAGTTGGCAGACATTTTGTGCCTAACTCTGAGATACCGAGATACAGCCAGTTGCCCTAGGTGCAGCCAGTCACTGGTCCTAAGTGCTGCCACCTGACTTATATGCAGCCATAACCAATTCTTGTCTGTGACCACATTATGTAATAGCTGGGCCAATACAAGTGTCACTTGGTAGGATTTGTGTAGCAGCGTGTTAACTGTGTCTAAGTAGCAATGTCGGTCATAATCATGAAAAAAAAAAGAATGTTGAAAAGGACTCATAACTAGACATGAAGAAACCAAACCAAAGAAAAACGAGAATGTTTTTTCAAAAAAAGAAACGCGTTTTATTGTGGACTGCTTTCATGAATGCGTTTCATAATGCAGGTACCAGAGTGGAGCGAACATTTGCTAGAATTTGATTTTAAACTTTATCCTTCCTCTTTTATCGTTAGTTAGATGTTGAGGGAAGGTGCAATTTGCAGAATTTGGCTGTCTCCAAGAACACTTGAAACAAGGAAAAATAAAAACCCGAGTAACCCCCCACCCCCTAAAAAAACCAACCCCTCTCAAAAATGCACCCCCCCCCCCAAAAAAAAAAATAATTAAAAAAAACAACCAACAACAAACAAACAAACAAACAAACAAACAAACAACCCGACAACAAAAAACAAAAACAAAACAAATCTTTGGTAAAATCCAATTGTTCTCACCTTAATTGATCAACTTCAATTCGATGCTGCTAACTGTGACGTTCTTTCGCCAAATTATTAAATGGTGTAATAAATTTACCAGTTCAACTGGTCCAAAAAGGACTGGGTATTGGGTAAACTGGCCCAAAAAGGGACGCACCCTGTTATCCAACCTCTCATCAGTCCCACCTTTGTTTCCATTCTCACATTGCTCTTTCTCACTCACAATTCCACTCCTTATAGCTCTTTTTTTTAAACATCAGCCCTTCCAACTTCTCAAACAAACGGTCAATGTACTTTGTTCCTTTCATTTCTTTCTTTAAGTTTATGTTCCTCCACACCCACGTCATCATCAGCATCAGCTGTTACCATTTCTAACTTGCCTACACGAGTCTTGAATTCAGACGTCTCTCTTTCTCTTAATATTGTCACTCTCTGTTCTCTTGGATTTCCTTTTCTCTTCTCTTTCAATCTGATTCTGACGTTTCCTTTCCTCCAATGTTCTCTGCCTATCTTCCTTCTGCTGTTCCTGTTAATTTTTCTTTCCTCTTTGTTGCTTTTCTTTTCCTTCCTTTTTCCCTATTCTCCCCCTCTTCTAAAATTGTTCCCTTTCTTGTTGGCCTCCATTTGTTATTGGTGTTTAACTTCTAAAGCTTTCAAGATGAACTGGGTCCCTGGGTAGACATAGTATCATGATCTTTTGCTCAATTCCCCGACTTGATACACAAATTTTGTTTCTGAGACAGCACGTTCCCGGTAGTAGCATCGATTATAAATCCAAATTCAAGGCAATTGTTAATTATCTCTGGAACAAGCAGCGTTGTGAGGTCAATTACCTCCATACGCTCTATATAGCTAGAAAACCACATCTGGGTGGAGCCCCTTGATTACAGAACCATGGTTTGTTGCTTGCCATGCTTCTGTGGCTTTTTCAACTGGGGTGGTGCAGTCTAAAAAGTCTAAACAACTATTTTTTTTTTAAATTGGGGGTAAGGTATGCCATCAGAGCATGGCAGTGCCATGGATTTTCCGGTGCCCAGAAAGTGTCACTGAATGTCCCTCAAGGTGTTCCGTATTCCTCGGAAGCTCTTCATTTGTCCATTCCTTCACTCACAACTTTCGTTATACTTATTCTCTCTTGACTCTTGTGTCCACGTTCTACGCTTCTTAGTGCTCCTATTTTATCTCCCGAACCAATGAATCCGGAAGATGTAGATTAGATTCGATAGCCCACTTTTGTTTTGGCGGAGGTTTTAGACAGTTGCAACGCTTTAGTTCATATAAATACCGAAGGCATAATTTTTTGGGTGTGTTTTACGGCGCTCGCAACTGCATAAGGTCATTATGAACGCGCAGGACACATTAAACACTTTCAGTTGGTAGGTAATTTTGAATTTTGCCCGGTTCGCGGCCGAAGCCTACACTTATTGGTTTTGGACCACCAAGGGATCTTTAACGTGCGCAACTTGCACACCGGACCTCCTCTAAGATGTTTCGCCCTTATCATAGATGACTAGAAGTTAGAACTTACCTACCAATAAGATCAAGGGTGTGACTGAAAGACAGCAGTAGGAAGGAGCCAAGAAGTAGCAGTAAAAAGGCTGCAGAAAGGGCCAGGAGCCCAGATGAGGAGGCAAAGGAGGTGAAGGGGTGGGGGCAGAAAGTGGAGACGAAAGCAGACAAAAGAATATTGTTAGAGAGCAGGAAAGGATGTGAAAGGAGAACATTTTAGAGAATAAAAATTTCCGTTGCTATCCGGATTCGAACCCGGGACCTATTGAATGAGAGGCAAACTCCTGAATCTATAGACCACGAGACCCCCCCCCCCCCCCCCCACCCCAATCCCAACCGAAGATTAGAATTACAAGAGTGCTGCGAATGTAAAAAAGAAGGAGGGTAGCAAAAGACAAGAATGGTTTACTGATATAGAGGAAAACACACCAGAGAGCCCATTAAGTGTCTACTTTAGTAGATCTTTATCTAATTGACAGGATTTTGTTATAATGACAATGTTACATAATAATATTATGCTTCAGAATAATATAATTTATGAGTCGAGTCCATGAGTCTTCAGTAAAATGTTATCAAACAAATCACTACCCTAGAACTACAAAGCTCTATCTGCTTATTACCTAGTTATAAGACATTTGAAGTTAAATTTTTTGAGTTTCACAGCGTGTCAAGCTTTTGTTAATGCAATTCTTAGAATGTCTTGATAACAACTCTGAATAATCATACGATTCTGATAGAGCAGGCAGAAGATTTGGTTTCTTAACACATTGTCTTAATAATCCAACACGTCCAAAAATGTCAGAGGGACCTTTGTCGAAAAGTAAACAATTAAATTGGAATTTAAGTATTTATCAAAGTGCACATGCTTTGTTGTGGAATATTAATCAATGTTTACTTCCTTCATCATAATACGATATAATCTTCGTGACTACCGACGCCTGTGGTGTAGCAGTTAAGCGATTTGCTGTTGCACGCAGGATACCTCTCTTCGATTCCCGAGAGGGAAGAAATTGTTATCGAGTATATCGGTCTTTCAGATGCGCTATGATATGCCTCTCAGTCCGGGTTGATCTTAACAGGCAGGGTCGAAAGTCCGCTTGCTAAATTATCTAAATTGTGTCGATATAGGCGTAAAAACCTACGTTTTTCATTTTGGCCGTAGAAAAGCTCACTGTTCATGATTTTAGCCCTCAGTGGTCAGTGTGGCTGCAGGTGGGCACACGCAACATTTACCCTCCCATAGCTGCGGCCACCCCCTTTCTCTCCTAAAATGCGTCTCTGGACGTTGATAACCGTTATCAAATAAAAAAGCATGCATATTATTTCCACACAGCCCATGCACTCATCATGTACAATAATGATACATGCTACAGTAATGAAGTTTTGGACCAACTCACCTGAAAAATGGCAAAGAGATCATATTTTCAAGAATCCAGAATTTGGTCACAAAACGTTTATATCAACAATGGCGGGATTCAGTATGGAAAAAGACCAAAATGGTCCAGTGGCCCTAGAAAAGTAATAGGATAAATTAAAGAAACTTGAGTTGAAAATGCGGGAACTATCCCCATCTTTCTCTATCAGTTAATAAAGGAGGGGAATTCTTCTCCTTTTATTGAATCCAAGTGTTGAAGCATCTGAGTTCGCAGTATCCGAGTTCTACTGTATTTGCCGATATAAACCGCTATCCACCAAATGTCTGTGTTGTAT